ACAATATGTATACATATAGTTTTTAAATATGTTTGCTATATGTTTTATAACTTGGAGTGAACATAGATTTGGTGGCTATTTCCCAAGTGATCTGAGATTTTTTAAATGTTAATAAATAGGAGATGATAAGATAATGGACCAGATAAACTCTCATTGTCTTGTCTCTGCTGGGCATGAGAATCTAAGATCCATGTGGATAATTTTGTTTATATCAGATTTTCACTTTGCAAACAAGTCATTTTAATCATTTACTTTCAGAGGAAGAAAAGTATGCCTTTGTCAACTGGATAAACAAAGCCCTGGAAAATGACCCCGATTGTCGGCATGTCATCCCAATGAATCCAAACACAAATGATCTCTTTAATGCTGTTGGAGATGGCATTGTGCTTTGGTAAATAATACTTCTTTCTTGGTTTCCAAAGAATTACCCATTTTCTGGAATATAATATAATATAATAATATAAGATCAAAAGCTCTGGGTGTCTGATCAAAGTATTAGGTACTTAAGTGGCAGAAATTTATAAAGTACTGATTTACTAATGACTATAGGAAGATATAAAAAAGTTTATCAGATGATAAATTAAAGGTATAAAGTTTGATCAGGTGTCAAATAGAAATGTAGACATTATGTAAGCTCAGAAATGTATAGTCTGTTATGTAATGGGGATAATTTTCATAGCAATATATTTTTGGAATATATGCTACTTTACTTCATCAGAAAGAACATGGCGCACCATGAGAGGAGGTAGAGTTGATAATAGCAGCAGGATAACTGCAGCAGTCCAGTGCAAGCTGTGGTCCTTAAGCTAAGAAACCTTTGCGTGGTGCACACAGATACCCAACATAAATATTGAGGGCAGCTGGAAAAGGGCGCATGCGTTCTCTCCACGGGAGGCCTCTCAATGCAGCGCTGGTCAATTCAGGCTGGTGTCTTTGAAAACGCCTTGGTAGCTCTCGGTTTGCAGGTTCTCTGTCATCACAGGCCACAGTGTTAGGCAGGCGGCTTGAGAGGCTCACTAAGTAGGGGGCTCAGGAGTGAAAGGGAAGGATGGGTGGGCAAGTCGCTGACCCTCCTCCC